ATGCCTAATGTCCAGGCCTTCTCACATGCTGTGTGAGGGGGTGGGGTGGGGAATTATTTAAAAAAAAATAAATTATCCACCCCCCTTGTAATGTGTCTGGCCTGTACAAGCCCTGCTTGTACAGCCAGCATGTTCTAATGTCAATAGACATACAATTAAAGTAACACGGCACATTTGGTCCATCAAGAGTCAATGTGACAAAACAAAATTTTCGAACGGTAGAAATTACAATCTAGATGATTCCACTTAGCCTATGTTTAGCTCATTTTTGTAAAATGTTTAAAAAATATTTAGAAGTACTTTTTATTTACTCATTTTGAGGTAATCCACTAACACACATTTATGCACCATTCAATTTATTTCATCAATATTAAACTATTTATAAGCACATCACTAACGTGGTTTGAAGGTCTCGACTCAACTAAGTATAAGAGACATGGTTTAAAATTGTACGAGTTGCGAGTTTTAAAAGAGGTTGAACACAGCAAGACAATAAAAAAATTGATTTTAATACGAAGAGTGGCAGCTGGACTGAATCCATTCTAGTCAATCGATGCCAATGTCGAGCTCAAATAGTTTTTGGAAGAGATCGCAGTTCAATTCAAAATAAAATAAATATCCCAATATTAAGTTTTTGTATACTACCAAACTTGTCCTAATTTAAGTGACAAATTGATTTTAATGTTTAAGGGTGTTTCTATTGGCCTTCAGCTACAAGTGTGTGGTGTGTACCTCTTCACTTCTTCATTGAACTTTTCACTGGGATGTCTTAAAGTTATCTTTATTAAATGGTCTATAATTTGCCAAATAATCCACATTTTACCAACTTATTTTTTGTTTTATTTTGGTAGAAATCACATTTGACCGAACAACAATAGCAACAGCAAGTGGCAACTGGTTTTCCATGTGGGCACGCGTCATTTACGTCAACGTGAGAAAAATACATTTGTAGAATGAGAATCTTATTCCCAATGTTGGAGCTGTCCAGATTCAAATTACTTAAACCCTTATTACGTTACTCATTGCCCTACTTTGTCATTCATTACAAATAAGGATTATAAATGGATCGCACATTTTAATCATAAATTTAATAAAACTAAAATTTTTCCCATCTTTCGAATAAATTTTTGAACAATGTTATTCAATATTAGATATTGCTTACCTTGACACCAAAGAAGAGTTCGACCCGGTGAATATATCATAAAATGCGATAAACGAACATGATTATAATTGGTTCTAAAATATAAGCATCGTCTCTTAGCTAAGAGTTTGATAGACTAAGGTACCTAATATCATATATATATATATATATATATATATATATGGCCGTTATCTTTCGAGTGCGTACTGGGCAAATTCTCGGGTTGACGCAATAGTCTGCAAACCACGCAAGTCAGGTAAATCGTACTAGACAAGCCTTGTGCAACATGTTCGATTGAAAAAATGTTGGTAGGGGGAATCAAACTCGTAACCAAAGACTCCCGCGCTCACCTACTCCACTAACTCAACCACCCCATGGAGGGCAAGGTACCTAATATCATACTGCATGCAATCATCATATTATGAGTAACAATCATCAATTCATGTTTGGATAACATTGAACAATATTGTAGACTTTAATTGCTTTTAAAATAAATCGATTGGTTTAAAGCGTTTTTTCTTCAAGTAATGATATTCATAGTTAGCAATTACTGTAGTCACTAAGCCTCTATTTGGTGGAAACTAAAATCCAGATTTTTAATTTGAGTCTGAGTCAACAATTAATATTAATCATATATTTTATGAACTCCATAACTTTCAGCCATACATTATATTATTTTTTATCAAAATTTATTAAATATCTTATTTTAATCCCAACCAGAGGAGGGTAAATTAAGTGATTAAATATATGTCACGTAAAATGATTACGATAATTGCTCAACAATAATGTCAACCTTTGTCCTTTGAAGAACATTTTAATGAGATGGCAAAGGTAATACCATGTGGTGGAAATTGATTAAGGCCTAATCTTTTCCTTACACACAAAATCAGCTGATTCTGCCACCTGGAAAAGCCGCTCAACAAGGAGGATATACTGTCCAGCTGTCCCTTTTCTGTGGACACCTAATTGTGCAATTTTGTTTTTAGACGGTGAGCTTCGCCGTCTAACTCTCTGACTCGAGTAGCGTACACGTGTCGTGCCAGCATCATATCTTGACGAATCAAGAATTCACGTGTCGTGTTTATAAAGTAGAACCGTGTTTTGCGTGCCGTGTGCCAGAACCACACGATTTATTTGCCTGCCGGTGAAGTTACTGTTTGCCCCAGCAACATTCTTTCTTCCAGTCTCCACGCCACTCTAGAGCGGCCGCGTTTAAAATTACTTTTTCAAATAATGAATTTATTGCATATTTGACAAAGTTAACTTCATTTTTTTTTTTTAAAGCTTATATCAACATATTTCTAAATTTTACAATTTTCGACTTTTTGTTTTAAAAAAAGTTACTTCGTTTGAGCTCCATTCTTCTCAAAAAAATACATTTTTGAATAATATATTGTAAGAAATGTGTTGTTAAAATATAATGAAAATTTTGAGATTTACGTGTAATATTATTTTATTGAAGAATGTGAAATTAAAATATGATCAAAATACTATTCAATAATACAATTTTTTATTTTTTATTTTTTCAAAAAAAGGGACTCAAACAAGGGCTAAAACTTAATTTATAAGTAATATATTTTTTATTTAAAGAGTAATTCATATATCACATATACGTGTCAAAAAAATAAATTTTATTATTTTCAATTTTTACTTAATTAAGAAATTATTTATTGTAAAACCCACTTAATTAGTTAATACCAAACCCTAAAAAGTTGTTGAATTTCAAAAGTAAGCTTTTACACCAAGCAGCCGACCATAGTTGAGGGGTTCTATGGTAATTTAACTCAAGCCGACTCTGCTTACAGTGGCACAGTAGCACTTGTTTTTCTCTTGTTAAATTTTAAGTTTTAGCTATTGGGGTTGGGGTAATGCTCTAGAATGAGAATCGTGACCAATGATCAGCACACGTGGCTAGCTGAGATGTGTTCTCATGAAACTTAGATGTCTTTCTAGACAGTAAACCAAAAAGGATATTTGATAATGGAATAATGCTATTTAGCTCTATTAATATTTAATATCGATTGATGTGATAAGATTCACACACAATTAAATGAATTGCATATTTTATCTTTAAATGAATTTATCACATAATGTCATATAAACTGATGTTATAGCACCAATGGTGTTAGTGATGGATCTAGAAATTTGAACGGATTAGGATCCATGCAAATGACTGTCTTATGCCCCCATTTAAACTCATCAATTTAATTTAAATTTTACTCTCTTTTATTTTTAATCGTACAATTTTCAATAAAATAATATTATACGTAAATCGTAAATTTTTCATTCTTTCGGAAGCATCCATTTTTCAAAAAAACTCTATTCCCCCCATTATAAATTCAAATAATGGTGAACAAACGAGGACTATATATGAAGATTTTTTTTTGACAAATCAAGCACAAGTGAGCGGCATGATTTGCAAAGTGTTGGCGCTATTCATAAATGATGCTAGATTGTATTATTCTCCAAGATAACTTTATAATTCAAAAAGTTTTCAATGTACACACCAACATTCATCATACACCTCACTTCAAGCCTTCCACACCCACCGCCCCATCTAACCCAAATCTCATCCAGTGAAAGATAAAAGTATTGAATGACTAGACTAGATACACCACTTGAATCGAAAAGTTTCATGTTAGTCTCGAATTGGTCAAAATTTAAATATTTAAAAAAATCGTTCAAATAAGATAATAAATTGATTGGTTCAAATTTGAAATCTAAAATAGCATCGGATTCACTGTGAAATGACTTGTTCTATGTCAATTTTTTTTTTTTTTTTTAAATTTGAATTTTTTTTTTACTATCGGATGATTTCCGATTAAATCATTTGAGTTTTGAATTTCACATATTACATGTCAAATTTTTAAACATTTAATAAAAATAATTCTATTTTGCTTGATTTGAATGAGTTGTGGAGAACTCATCCTGTTTTGACTGGCCACTTATTCTATATGATAACTATGAATTTGTAGATAATTCTGGCATCTAAACAAATGCTAAATTTTAAAGCACGGCGCCGCCTGAAAATTTTCCATTTTGAATTTTCTATGATGTCTCCAAGGCAATTGAATCAATTTTTACAGAGAAATTAAACTACTAGTCAATGGTGTAAAATTCATTGCATGTCACTATTCCATTAATTGGATCACATATTTAAAAAATAAAAAACTCTAGAAACCTCTAGTAAATATTTAGTTCCCATTGTAGGTAACAAGTTATTCATCTAACACAATTTGATATTGTCTACTAAACAAGTGGTTAAATTGTGTAATTTACAATAAACGACATTATAATTTCCAAAAAAAAAATTAATATCAAATCATCTTTAAACCCTTGTTTGAGCCCTATTTTTGTCATAAAAATATATATTTTTAAATAATTTATTAATGTGTAATATATGGTTAAAAATAAGAAAAAATTTCGATTTGCATGTAATATTATTTTATGGAAAAATATATGATTGAAATAATGTCAAAATATTGTTTAATTTTTAATTTTTTTTTTAAAGAATGAGACTCAACGGGGGCCAAGTATAATCTTGCCTGACAATAAACTCAAAAGCATGAACCACTTCCATAAAAAGAATATGCGCTATTTTGGTTCTGACTTGGAAAAGTCATCGTAAGATTAGGCAAGTAATCACACTTATTGACTCCATTCACCCCACCCCTCTCCACCCCACTGCCCTACTACTCTCTATAATCTTTATCCTTTTTTTTTAATTAATTATAATTCACACGGGAGAAGAGTTGTTATTTTTTAGTAATTAATTATTACCTGTACTGTACAACTCGTCCACCGCCATTCCCCACGCAACTGCCAACTCCCATACACCACACCATATATAAACTTCCCAAACCTTTCTTCACTCAATCAGTCTTCTACATCATATTACTCTTAAGCTTTCTCTTTCTATTAATTTTCACACACGCAAGAACACAGATTCTTGATTCCGGTGGGGAAATAGATACTGATTATGGCCCTTGAAGCTCTGAATTCGACGGCACCGGGACTTGGGTATGAAGATGCTGAGCGGAATCTTGATTCCTGGACAAAAAGAAAGCGCTCAAAGCGTGCCCGCAGTGAAAGTGAAAACCCACCAACAGATGAAGAATATTTGGCCCTCTGTCTCATCATGCTTGCTCGCAGCGGCGGAGACCGCGGTGGAGCCACCGCCAGTCCCTCGGATAATACAAGCAGTCCCTCTGACACAACGGCCATAGACGATATTAAGAAGCAAACAGAAAATTCTACACCGCCACCGCCACCACCATCGCCACCGACGACCCAGAACCAGTCATACAGCTGCAGCGTCTGTAACAAGGCTTTTCCCACGTACCAAGCACTCGGCGGACATAAAGCAAGCCACCGCAAGAACTCCACCGCCATCGCTCCGGACGATGGAAATCCTTCCACGTCGACATCCACCGCCAACGCCGCAAGCACCGCTTCTAATGTATCCGCTCTCAACCCAACAGGTAGACTTCATGAGTGCTCCGTCTGCCACAAGTCGTTTCCTACAGGCCAGGCTTTGGGTGGTCACAAGCGGCGCCACTACGAAGGTACCATCGGTGGAGGCGGCGGGAGCTCCAAAAGTGGCGTCACCACCTCCGACAGCGGTGTGGCCAGCCACGCCCCAAGGGACTTCGATCTGAATCTGCCAGCGACGCCAGAGTTCCAATTGGAGTTGACCGTTGACTTTGAGAAGAAAAGTCAATTTCTTGGTGACCAAGAAGTGGAGAGCCCTATGCCATCCAAGAAACCTCGTTTAACTTTATTTGATGATGGATTTTAAATTTTAATCACATTTATTGGATTAAATTTAGCTTGATTATGTGATTTTATGTAATTCATTAGGAAAATGTTTGGGGTAAAATTTGTTTATTCAGTAATTTAAATAAAATTGTTATTTTGAGAAATTTCTTGTTTTAGTTTGTTAAATTCATTTTTTTCATGTTGATGGTTTTATTTAGTTGTTTAATTTGTCTATTAATGTAAGACTGATTTACTAGCCTATAATTTACTCTTGAAAACATACTCTTCAGTCGTTGAATATTTTTAGGCCCTATTTGGAAGCGATTTTGAGAATTGATTTTTTGATCGTTAAGAAAAAATATGGGAGTCATCTGTAAGAGAAGAAGTCAAACTTTACGGTTGAAATAGTTAGATAACGATAAAAAATCAATTTTTTGAAGTGAAAAATCACTTCCAAACGGTCCCTTAATCTTTGTCTGCATTAGTAAAAACAAATTCAGTACTAACAATTTTATTTTTTTCCAAGGAAAAAATAAAATAAAATAAAAAATGAAAAGATTCTTATACATCCTTCATGGACATGTGACCTCTTATCAACAGTGGCAATTGTCGGCAACACATCGCATCTCCACTAGAGGCTGGATCAAATTGGACGGTGGGTGGGCGGCTAGGTGCAAGTAAAAGTGAAATATTTAATAAAATTGATTTTAGACCACACCTAAGATTTGTATTTCGAGTTAGCGATAAAAAAATAAACGTGTCTTATGTTTGGACAATATGTCTAATATTAGGTGTTATCGAAAAGTATCTATGAGTACTATGGCTCAAATTTGTTGGACATAATCTCGTAATCTCGAGTGAAAACAATACTTCCAGAGAATTCATTAGATTTAGGTCGATCATATAGGGACATACGGTTTCATCAGTGGACACAGTGCATCTGAACTTGTGGAAGAAGTTGATCATAGAAACATGTGGTAAGGACAAACATAAGCCAAGGGTTGATTAGGTCACTCACGCCACCAAACTACTTGTTATGAGGATGCTTAAACCTCTGGGGGAGAGTGGATGAGGATCTTTCGAGTGAAAGGGTTATTCTTGACATACCTTACTATTGTGCAAGTGCAATGAAATGAATCGTCCCTTCCTAAACAATTTGGGCAGTTGCTCTTGCATTAAATACTATTGAGCCCAAGGACAGTCCTCAATTGCTGATCGAGTCACGAACATAACTTCCAATAACCTGAAACAAATGTGTGGGGTGTTTTCCCTTATAGTCTCTACTATGCTTAAACCACTAAATTGATAAAATATATATGTGAGGCTATATGTTGGATATAATGAAAAGCTTACATGAATAATGGATGAATCTCATTTGTATAGGGTACATGGGGTGTAATCGTGTGAGGATTAGAACACCTATAAGATTTCAAGATGACCTTAGATTGGGCTTTTGGTGATCAAGAACTTCTATTGTGGTTATTGTAAGTATTATGCACTAGGTCCAATCAATTTTGGACATAAATACTTTTGATATATAATTAATACAATTTAATGGCAGATCTATTATTTAATTAATAGACAATTAAATAAATAATAGAGTTCGTAGATTCAAATCTTCGTAATTTGTTAATTATAAGGAGTTGTGATTGTGAGATACAAATTATATTTAATTGAATCTTAAATCATCCGTGGTCGTAAGTAATAACGAGATACGAATATCGTTATTACAGAGAGACCATCACGTGTGACATTTCTTACTTGTGAAATAAGTAGCTAATCTCACAAGATAAAGTGTGGTGGCACTTAAATAAATACGTTGATGTTTTGTTATAGAACAAAACATTGGAGACCCACCGAGAGATTCCACATGGATAACTATCTGAGTGTTAGTGGTTAATCTCTAATGTTTGGTAGTGGGATTGGTCCTTTGACTTGAGGTCGTCATAGTATCTTACATGAGGACGGTCATGCTTTGACGGTGCTGGATGTTGCTCTGCCAAGGGCCGCTAATATAACATCGTTCGGGGATGTCAAGAATCATATGAAGGTTGTGAATGACCAATAAAGAATTCGCCACTCTTAAATAGTATGAGATTATGATATGCGTTTCATTCAATTAAGTCGATAACGAAATCTTTGGCCAAGGTGTACTCATAAGTCGAAAGAAAATGAGTTTTCGACTTATATTGATTTAATAGTGGAGTGAGAGATATGATCGATATTCGAGATTGACACACTTCCATATCTCGTAATTGATCGGATCATATTGACGAAGAGATTATAATTTCATGGTAAACGAACGAGTTTGGTTTTGTCATATCACATGACATTCCCGGTCACATGTATTGCCCTGACACATTGCTAGATGTCAATTTGGGACGGCGAGTGTGAATTTGTGATAAATTAAAAGAGTATTTTAATTTATCAATTTTGATTAGATCAAATTAATATTTCACATTGTTAGATATCGTGATCGAGAACCTGATGGGTCGCACACAAAAGAGAATTAGAAAATTGCAATTTGTCAATTAATTAATTTAACAATCGTTGGATAAATTAATTAATTTGGTTGATTATTTATAGCCCGAATTAATTAATTGTATTAATTAATTCACGGATTGAATTTAATTAAATGGATTAATTAAATATTGGATCGGACCAGGTCAGGCCCGTTTTGGCTTATATAAATGCATGGCTCGGGTTTTCAATCCATAGAGTTTTTTCATAATTTCTTGATAGCACAAGCGGAGAAATCCTGGTAGCTGCAATCTGTTCTTTGTGTGGATCATCGTTGGAGACTGGACAATTGGACAACTGTGGGTAGCGAATTAAGATCATTGGTACAAAAAAAAAGTAAAGGGGTTTGTAGATCTAGAAAATGTATGACTTTTATCACAATTTCTATCTAAACACAAAGATGAATTTTGGTGGGAATCGAAAATTATTTTAATTTTCACTGCGCATGTTAAGTAGATTCCCAATAGTGGTATCAGAGTCTACCTTGTGTTTGTTAGGAATTGATTTACATATTAATGAAATCAAAAGTTGATTTCATTATGTTTTTCTTGGATCTAACAATTTAGAAATTTTGATTTTGAAAGGAAATATAAATTTGGAAATCTGATTCAAAATTTGATTTAAATGAAAAATGATTTTTTGATCGGAATAAGAAAAAAAATTGTTTTGGGCAACGGCTGTTGGAACCGAAGTAGGGATCTAGCGCGGCCGCTAACGTGGCGGCCGCGTTCCAACCAATCAGCAGCGACGTTGGGCGCCGCTGCCGCGTCCCAGCCAATTTCCAACGCCGCTGCTACAAAAACAGGAAGTCGCTGGGGGCGATTTCTTGTCGTGAAAGGGAAGGGACGGCGCCGGTTGCTGCCCCATGAAGCCAAGAGTAACGGGAGAAAAAAAAAATTGGGATCTAAGGTTTACGGCTCGTGGGGGAGATTTGGGACGGGGACCTCTTCTGCAATTTGTAAAGTTGGAGGCCCCTGTCTGCAATTACTTTCCAAGGGTCAATGTGTAAATATCAAATAGAGGGCCTTCCTGCAATTAGAGTAATTGAGGGGGCCTGTTTATAACTTGTAAATGGGTCAAAATTTCATATTTTCAAAATATGTTTTGAATTAAAATATAAAATGGTTTTAAAATTATATTTTAAATGGGTTTGACATATAACTTTAATTTTGACCCAAATTAAAATTTTATTTTAGTTTGGCGACTTTTATATTTTTGTTAAAATATGATTTTAACTTAAATATTAAATTTGACCCTAAATTGTATTTTATTTTATTTAGGAATGTTATCCTAGATTAAAATATTAATTCAATTAAAATTAGAAACTTAATTAAAATTTGATTTTAATTAATTATTCACCCCGAATATATTCTTGTAATTAGAATTGGATTCTAATTTCACATTTAATTAAAATTTGATTTAATTAAATTGTCTTGCCCTTGATTTTTTTGTTTTGTTTTTTTTTTTTTTTTTTGAGTTGGACTCTAATATATTGTTTAATTAAAGTTTGATTTTAGTTAAACAAGTTCTCTTGCCCTTGATTTTTTTTTTTTGTTTTTTTTTTTTTTTGTTTGAGTTGGACTCTAATATATTGTTTAATTAAAGTTTGATTTTAGTTAAACAAGTTCACCCTAAAATCTTGGAATTAGAGTTGGACTCTAATTTTGCTATTTAATTTTAATTAAATTCAACCGACTTAAGTTTTGAAATTAGGGTTGGACTCTAATTTGATATTTAATTAAAATTTGATTTTAATTAAAAAACCTCGCCCTATAATTGTGGAATTAGAGTTAGACTCTAATTCGGTATTTAATTAAAATTTGATTTTAATTAAATATGCCCGCTGATTAAATTAATTGATTAAAATGATTAATTAATTATTAAATTGCTCTGATCCATTTGTCTAAAATAGTTTAGATGACTTAATTGCTAGAAATTTGAAACATGTTTTCATATAATATTAGATATTATATAAGAATTCATTTATGTGATAAGTACATTATTAGTGGATGATTACGGATTCGACCATATGGATGTGTTGAATAGTTGATTTTTTAATCTTGTCATTTTGTGGGCCTGCGAGCTCTTAATCATTTTGGACCGGCGAGTCCGTTATTATTATTATTACCACGAACCTGCAAGTCCAATTTCATTTAGGCCTACGTGCAACTAGTATATGATACATGTTACAGTTGTACTAATTGAAGAAACAAGAAGAGGAGGAGCCATGGAGATGGTGCATTGATACTCATCAATGCAATGCCACCTAGGAATTGACCAACTAGCCTTCCTTATGGCTCGGAAAGACTAGATAGTAAAAGTTCATAATCGTCCACAATATTATTTTATATTATATATATGTTTATTTGCATGGTAGATGTATAATAAAATATATATGATTGTATTATCTTTGATGAAACCTTTGAATGCAAAATCCCTCCATACAATATTAAGTCACATTTATAATCGTCTTCCATCATTACAGTGAAAAGTCAGAGTCCCAAATCGTCTCAACTTATTGAGTACACTCAAGACTAGTCTATAAGGGATATGTTTGACACTATGAAATATTTGATATTTCTGAAAGACGGGTTTGACTTAACTAAAATTTATCTTTTATTTAGTACATTCAAGGAGATAAATT